AAGGAGTGGCTCCGCAAAAAGCATTTCAAGGTCCTGGAGTGGCCTAGCCAGTCTCCAGACCTCAACCCCATAGAAAATTTGTGGAGGGAGTTGAAAGTCTGTGTTGCCCAGCGACTGCCCCAAAACATCACTGCTCTAGAGGAGATCTGCATGGAGGAATGGGCCAAAATACCAGCTACAGTGTGTGCAAACCTGGTGAAGACTTACAGGAAACGTTTGACCTCTGTCATTGCCAACAAAGGTTATGTTACAAAGTATTGAGTTGAACTTTTGTTATTGACCAAATACTTATTTTCCACCATAATTTACAAATAAATTCTTTAAAAATCCTATAATGTGATTTCCTGGATTTTTTTTTTCTCATTTTGTCTCTCATAGTTGAAGTGTACCTCTGATGAAAATTACAGACCTCTCTCATCTTTCTAAGTAGGAGAACTTGCAAAATCAGTGGCTGACTAAATACTTTTTTGCCCCACTGTATATACTTTCAACATAATGTATCACAGTAGCCAGAGCTATAATTATAATATTACTACTTTCATTAATGTTGTTGTAAGCTACTGTCATTACCGTCTGTCCTGCATCTCTCTCTCTCTCTGTCTCTCTCTCTCTTTTTCTGTCTCATTGTGTCATACGGATTACTGTTAATTTATTATGCTGATCTGTTCTGTACAACATCTATTGCTCGTCTGTCCGTCCTGGAAGAGGGATCCCTCCTCAGTTGCTCTTCCTGAGGTTTCTACCGTTTTTTTTCCCCGTTAAAGGGTTTTTTTTGGGGAGTTTTTCCTATCCGCAGTGAGGGTCCAAAGGACAGAGGGATGTCATATGCTGTAAAGCCCTGTGAGGCAAATTGTGATTTGTGATATTTGGCTTTATAAATAAAATTGATTGATTAATTGATTGACTTGATGTATGATTTATGTCTGGGTCTGGCTACATAGCCTATTGTATAAATACATGGTGATGATAGATATAATATCAAGCTAGCGATAGCCCAAACCTGAATACTCTGCTATACCAAATTGTGATAAAACAAGCGCAAATTTGCAATAGCTGCGACCAAATTGGCTACTATCACGCCATTAAAGGATGAATCATGGTCGTTCTTTCTGGCATAGTTACTTGTGGTCTCCAATTGAAGCATGTAAATTTTGAGCATTTTTGGTCGAGGACTTTTTGAGTTATTCACGAAAAGATTTGAATCGATTAGTATAGCGCCATCTATGGACGAATCGTGGGCATTTTTTCCGGTATAGTTACTCATGGTCTCTAGTTGCAGTATGCAAATTTCGAGCATTTTTGGTCAAGGACTTTTTTAGGTATTCATGAAAAGCTTTGTGGACCGACGGATCCAACTGACCAACCAACCGACCGACCGTGACCTATAGAGCTGCGGGTCGCTGCTGAAAAGAAAAAGAAAAGAAGTATTTTCTGTATTTGAAAATACAAAACACATGTATTTTATTTTGATACATTTTCTGGCACCAGTATTTTGTATTTCATTTTGATACATTTATTTGAGGGGTATGTTGTATTTTGTATCAAAATACATTTTGATGTATTTTTGCCCATCTCTGGGTGCAGGGAGGGACTGCCTACCGCGTGACGAATCACTCGGTGAATTACGTAACCCTGATCCCTGAGTGATTCAAATCATTTCTTCTAAGCGATACACTTTCATAGGGACCGTTTTCTCCAAGCTAACGGCTAATGTAGCCAGGAGTCAAGCCACATGAATACAATCACACACCTCCCCATTGTTTTAATAGACTTAGTTTCCAGATGAACAAACTTAAAACATTAGACTGGCCAGTAATGAGACTCACCAGTGCAGGGCAGACGCAGAGGCAGCTCAGCCGTGTATCAGTTCAGTGAGTCGGAACGATTCAGTGAACAAATCTTTTTAATGAACTGATTCTAGTGATTCAGTAACATCTAAAGAACTGCTTTGCCCTTCACTATCAGGAGGAGCTTCTGCCCTCAGGACACAAGGATACTGAATGATGATCCTAACTAAGACTACCCAGTCTTCACTATCACCCCTAGCACACACTGGACGTGTCATGCTGCAGCTCTTCAACAGATGACTACGCAAAGTTCTTACCGAAAGAAAGATCTGTACTTCCTCCACCTCTGCATTAGCTGAAAATCATGTGTGGAGAGCCATTAAATAAAGTCGATGTCCCACCTGAACATCTTTTCGGCCATTGTCTTTATAGTGATGGGCTTGTGGGTTGTTTAGTTTTAGCAACAGTTTTAGCAACAACATTGTAGCAACAGCTACAGAGTTCTTTTTATACATCCACAGTGAGGGGAGGAGTGGAGCTGTCATAGGAGCAGAGAAAAAGAGCTGCTACAGGAGCAGTATGTACAAGCAGAGAGCGAGAGGGGACAAAATGCATTTAATCCTGGTGTTGGAAAAAGGACAGTGGTGTGAAGGCACCTTTTTTGGGGCAATGGGGGGCGTGAGCAAGTAACAAAACTTGTAGCTCTTAGCATGTGACGTAAACAGTGACGTGGAGGGAAGCCGCGGCTGGTCAGTCCTTCAGCGATTTTCTCATAAGTCGACCTGTTCTTCACCGTCCCCGTCATTTGACGGTTAATGGCCTCTTCGTTTGCGAGGATAAGGAGGGCGCGCAATGCTTTGTCTCCCCAGTTGTTCATCTTACAGTGTCTGTCAGGTTTACGTTTCCCTCTTGCTACTAGCTGCTCACTAATTCCTGCTATCAGCTGTTTCCTGTTTATCCATCGCCAGTGGGTCGCACGAGCGGCATCATCAACAGCTCCTCCTACAAATCTTCAACAGCCCCTCCCATTGCGGAAGGCTGCCTCAGTCTGTTTAAACTAAAAGGGTTCCACCAATATGACTACCCTAGGAGGCGGAAAATTGGGCACCTTGGATCAACTCGCCAATCCGGCTCTGTGTGTCTAAACGCTCGCAGCTTGCCGGCAAAACGGCCCAACATTCGTGGAAAATCTGGCAGTGTAAAAGGGGCTATAGACTGATTGATTGATTAAACAAACAACAGAATTCTACATATGAAAAAAAGTTTATTTGTTTGAAACCCACCCACAACTATGTACTTCACTTCCTTTTAATGTTACACAGTGTATAATGGACTCAACAGAATTCATTACATAACTGACAAGTATACATATGAGATACACACATAGTTGAAGTGTGACTAATGCAAAACCATACAAATGCAATCTGTCTGGATGTGTCCTCAGCTGAAGATAAAACTCCATTCCAGCATGTGTCACAGGAAACTGTCCGATTACCCTGAACGGAAAGAAGACACAAACATAAATAAGTTATGAATAACCGGTTATATAACACTGGATTGTTTTAATGCATATTTATTATATGGTAGTAGCTTTATTAGTATTATTAGTATTCATTACATCCAATAGTAAGAGATGACAAATTATGTATGATTATGTATTCAGTAGTAGGTCTAGTTTATGTAGTGTTGTGTGTGGTGCTGCAGGAGTGAAATGTTCCGATGGATACCAGTCTCACGTCTGTGTGTCCATTACAGAGCTGGAGTCAGAACATGGTTTGCCTGGCTTAGCATATTTTATATCCTCTGCTTTGCAATGTTTTATTATGTTTTGTGTGTCGTCTTGCCTTGAGACATGTTAATGGTGAAACCAAAGACAAATTTCCACTCTGTGGACAATAAAGTTTTCGTATTCGTATTCGTTTTCGTATTCGTATTTGTATATAGACTGGAAGTAGGGGGAAACAACTAGCCTGGTTCAGTCCAAAGGTCAAACAACACCTACCAACACCTCTAACACGTTGTTTCTGTTTGTTTCATCTGGACACAAACAGAAATGTCATAATGACATATCATTTTAGAGGGAGTTACATGAAAAAACAAGAAAAATGGCGAGGAAAGGTCAGGACATAATCAAAAATAAGAAATCAGCATCTGTGGACAAGAGTTCTGTTATTGTATATATAATCAATATTCATATTGGCTCTGCATACAATCATATCTCTGATAAAAAAACAATACAGGCTACAGTAGACATGTTTTTATGTTCTTGCCACATGCACAAAGCTGCCTTCCAAACTATGACCACCTAACCAGCACAATCTTTTGACCATCCTGATTTGATTTCGTTCTGCCATTCTCAGCTGCAGTCTTACCTCTTCCATTGTTGCATCCCAGGCCGCTGGCATTTCCTATTCGATCCATCCTGGCTCCAAAGCAGCCAGAGGCCCGTTTCCTGGCGGTCATCAGCAGGTCCTGTAGATGGCTCCTCTGACTCATGGTCCTGCTGTGACCCTCAGCTGGTAATTTAGATCTTTCTGATATCAAAGGTTCTTGGTCCTCCTCCTGGTCCAGGCTCCATCCCCGGCTGGCCTGGCTGTTCTCAGGCTGTTGGTTTGTCCCCTGGTAATCTGCCTCAGAGTCCTCCTGCCCTGCTTCAGCCACAGTCTCTTCAAAGCGCTCCAGTAGAGACTAGTGTGGAAAGGTGAAGATGGCTTTACACTCAAAACTCAAACTGGTTACATTCATGGTGTTATATTACAGTTACCACATTATGAATTAAGAACATAGGCCTTCTAGTGAATCTTTTTTTGTTTTGAACATTTATTAGAACAAGTTCCTTGACAGAGTCTCACACATTATGACAAGTATCAATACTCATATTGGTATCAAACTGACAAAATACAAAATACAAGGACAATCAAATAGCAAAGAGGTGAAAGAATATTCTTTGTAGGTCTAATTAGTACATCTAACCCAGTTGAACAGAGACAGTATTCTCACCTTTCCAAATACATTATAACAGGTGACCATTTTTCAAGATACAAGTCCATCTGGAGTCGAAGGTTTGCCGTTATGTGTTCCATGCAATTTACATCCTTAAGCCTTTGAGACCACTGGTCCAGTGTGGGTGGATGGGGCTTAAGCCAATTTACTGTGATCATTTTATGTGCAATCAATAAAAGAACCCTGAGCATAAACACACAATTTTTCCCTAAATCCGTTAACGATACAGTACCCAAAATTAGTTGCTGTGGTTCAATTGGTCTATTTAAATTCAAAATCTCACATATTTGTCGCTTCACATTCTCCCAGAATTTTTGCAATTTAGGGCAATCCCAGAAGATGTGGGAAAAGTCCCCTGTTATACAGCAACCCCTCCAACACAGTGGGGAACAGTTATTATCATAACTAGCTATTACCAAAGGAGTTTTGAAATATCTTACTCTCAACTTCCAGCCAAATTCCCTCCAAACTGGGCTGCTTAAACATTTCTGCCAGGGCACCCAAGAACTCTCCCACTCATCGTCAGCAATCATGGCATTAGCTTCCAATTCCCATTTAGCTTTCACATCAAGTGTATCCACTGATGTATCCATACGGATCCTGCCATATATACATGATATTGTGTTTTTAGTGTTCATCTTATTCTCAGCTATCTCAATCCAATATTGTTCAAAATTAGATGGAACTTTTTTAATTTTGTCCCACTCTTTGTGTGTCATCAGGTAATGCCGAATTTGAAAATATCTAAATAAATCCTTAGAATCAATGCCACACTTTGCTTGAAGTTGTGAGAAAGCCCTGAGAGTCATTCCTTCGAATAATTGATTTATTGTGATGAGGCCCTTCCCCGCCCATCTAATGAAACCACTGTCCATTTTTGCTGGCAGGAAGTCACAGGCAGTAGTTATTTTTGCTGCCCTTGATAGAGATAGAGGTAAATTCAACAATCGTCTTGTCTTCTCCCAAACCCTTAATGTATGATTAACACATTCGTTTTGTATCCTAAGTTTACGCCTTACTTTTGAATTTAGAAAGGGAAGGATTGAGAGCGATATATTTTTTACTGAACCTTGCTCTATATGTACCCATTTTGTGTCCATATCTAATCTCATCCATGAAACCAATTTTCCAAGTTGTGCTGACCAGTAATAACTTCTGAAATGCGGCAAGACTAATCCACCCTTCTCCTTGCGTGCACAGAGGACTTTGAGTCTCACTCAAGGCCTTTTGTTCTGCCATATGAATTTGGAAACAAGCTTATCCAGAAATGTAAAGGTAGATACAGGAACATTGATAGGTAACGCATTAAAAAGAAATAACAATCTTGGCAGGACATTCATCCTGATAGATTCTACCCTCCCAACTAAAGACAAAGGAAGCATCTCCCATCTTTCCAAGTCATTTTTGATTTGAGAAATAAGTTTATCATAGTTTGCTTTATATAACTGATTTGAGGTATGGGTCAGAATAACTCCCAGATACCTAAAGCCCCCTTTTGACCACCTGAATTTCACCTGTCTATCCAAGCACGCAGGCCAGCATCCTGTTATCATCATTGCTTCTGATTTCCCCTCATTAACCTTGTACCCTGAAACCTCCCCATAGTCCACCAGGCATTGCATAAGAGCCGGTATAGATGACTGTGGATTTCTTATAAACAAAAGAACGTCATCCGCGAACAGTGAAATTTTATGCATCTCGCCTCCCTCATCCACTGTTCCCTCAATCTGATCATTTCCCCTTATTAACTCAGCAAGCGGTTCGATACACAGTGCAAACAAAACAGGAGAGACCGGGTTTCCTTGCCTAACACCTTTTTTAAGATCAAAAAATTTGGAGCAGTACCCATTAACCCTAACCCTTGATATTGGATCTTTATTCAGGGTATTAATCCATCTTATAAATGTCAAATTGAATCCCATTTGTTCCATAGTATAATTCAAATATGACCAGTCCACCCTGTCAAATGCCCTCTCAGCATCAAGACTGAGAAGCATTGACGGGTGGGCAAAATGCCTTGCTACTGATTGTACATTTAAAGCTCTTCATATATTGTTTGCTCCCTGACGACCCGGTATAAAACCGGTCTGGTCAGGGTTAATCAATTTACCTAAGTATTTCTGCATCCTATTCGCCAATATGGCACTGATAATTTTTACATCATTCCCCAGCAAGCTGATTGGCCTATAGGCACCACAGTCCAGTGGGTCTTTCCCCTCCTTATGTAAAACTGTTATTATGGCCTCTGACCAGCTCTTTGGTGGGTCATTTTCCTGTAAAGCGTAATTAAAGACCTGACAAAGTTTTGGCACAAGCTCCTCCATAAAGGCCTTATAAAATTCACCTGATAGACCGTCTGTGCCAGGGGATTTGTTGTTTTTCAATGACTTGATAACGTCTTGTATCTCACTTTCTCGAATAGGAGCTACTAATTCATCCGCCTCAGACACAGAAAGTTTCGCTATATTAAGATTTTTGAACATAACTTCCAATTTCCTTTTGTTTTGTGTTTCTTCTGGTGTATCATAAAGCTTTTTATAAAAAATTTGAAATGCCACAGATACTTCTTCTGGGTGAGAGACCTCGGTCAAAGATGTAGGGTGTTTTATCTTAGGAACAATGCGGCTTGACTGCTCTTTTCTCAGTTGAAAGGCAAGTAGCCGGCTCGCTCGATTTCCCATCTCATAGTATCTTTGGCTTGTGTATCGAAGCGATCCCTCAGCTTTTCGTGTGAGAAGTTCATCCAAAGAAGTTCTACAGTCTTGTAATTGCTTCAAAACACTTTCATCTCTGGTCACTTTGTGTTCATGTCCTAGTCTTTTTATATCACTTTCCAAATGTTTTTCCCTTTCCATTCTCTGTTTGTTTAGTTTGACAGCAATCTCAATACACTTCCCTCTCAGCACTGCCTTCGCCCCATCACAAAGAGTTGAGGGGGATACTGATCCATTATCATTAATTGTGAAGTATTCGTCTATAGTTTGTTTTATTTGTTCTTTTATACTTGGGTCCGTTAGCAATGAAATATTCAGTCTCCAGTATTTGAAGTGCCACTCAAAGCCTAAATTTAATTTCAGTTTTACAGGACCATGATCAGACAAAGTAATAGGTTCAATAACACACACTCTAACTTTATACAGACTCTGCTTTGAAATGCAAATCAGATCAATTCTAGAATATGACCCATGTAACATAGACAGAAAGGAGAAATCTTTTGTTGTTGGATTCTTGGCTCTCCAGACATCCACAAGCCCTAATTCTTCCAACATGTGTTTTGCTGCTTTGGATTTCCGCTAGGAGGTCCATAATCAGAAGGTAATTTATCCATTTTCACATTTAAAACACAATTAAAGTCACCCCCTAAAATTATGGTACCTCTGGCTTCCCTTGCCATTACAGATGCCACTTCTTTAAAAAAGGTAGGGTCATCTTCATTAGGAGCATAAATATTCATGATGGTTAACTCTACTCCATCTACTGCTCCTATAATAAGTATGTATCTACCTTCTTTATCCTTTACTTCTCTCTGAAATGCAAAAATAATGGACAAACTAATCAAAATTGCCACTCCTCTCTTTCTGCTATTCGAACAAAAGGCATAGAATATCTGTGTGACCCAGTCTCTTCTCAGTTTCTTATGTTCTACATCATTTAAGTGAGTTTCCTGTAACAACCCTATTGAGCAATTAAGTTTCTTCAACTGGGTTAAAATCTTCTTTCTTTTTATAGGATTATTTATTCCTTTCACATTATAACTGACAACCCCTAAATCAGACATAAATCGACATTCCTTGTTATCATTTTACTTTCCCCAGATTCACCTTTGCATAAAGTAATTGACCTTACCATAATATTTACAAAAATCACTTGTGTGGACTTAACCAACCTGTCAAGGATGTAGGAACTCTTAACACACAGAACAGAGAAAATAAAATAAGCACATGTGACTTCCAAAAGTTCAGCTGAGTACAGAAATGTGTCCATCCCCTGATGTAATGCAGTCACAGGGTTGTGACTTTTAATTCCCTCTGGGCAACATGCACTAAGTGCTGACCCAACCACAGACCAAAGAAAAAGACTAAATCCTTGGTGAGGTGGTGATCCCATCTTGGGTCTCATCATAAAAATAAAAATAAGAACAGTTAACTCCCCTATTTTCTTACTAACATTCCTATAAATTGCACTTATCTTCAGCAGGTTCAGCTGTTTCAACTATAGACAGTGATACACATAACACCTTTCTATTGTCGGTGATAATGTGACAATTTGTCACAATTTAACAGGGCGACCGCATCAAAATATGTTACCTGAGCACAGCACTCATCATTTTAATCCCACAAAACGGACTGCAGATCTGCGGCAGACAGTGACGTGTCCTTTCTTTCTCTCCTCCCGCCGACCTGTCTTTGCCATGTCTCCCTTGAGAGCTCCCATTCCAGCCTCTCTCTCTCGCTCACCTGCACCGCGATGCCCAGCTCCATCAATGTTGGCGCAGCCTCCACCAGCGTAGGGAAAGTTTTCACTCCCGACTCCAAGTTGACTTTAAGCTGCGCCGAGAAGCGGCACTTGGCCTGGATCCCCTTCTCCTTCAGTTGCTTAATCACTCCACGGACCCGCGCTCTCTTCCTCTGCACTTCTGGAGAATAATCCTGGTCGAAGTAAATCACTTCTCCTTGAAACTTAAC